AAATTTGTTTAAAAGGAAAAAGCTGAAAATTTAAATAGTTAAAAGTTGAACTGTGACTAGTTGTTTTTTGTATTATATGATTTATTTATTACATTTTATGTGGAGTGAATAAATAAAAGTATATTTACGGTGGCCCCTAGAGACAAAGCACATACAAACTCCAAAACACGTACAAACTCCAAAACACGTAAAAACTCAGAAGCACGTAAAAACTCCAAAACAGGTACAGACATAACAGAAGTGCTCCAAGATGCTACGCGCAGTGTTGAGCTTTTGTTACCTAGTGGCTACACAAGCCAGCAAGTACCAACGACCGGATTTGGTATGTGGTAGTAACAGGTAAATTAACTTTTTTTTTAAATTATTTGAATATATATGAGTGCTTGTGTATAAATACACAACCATACACATATGCTTTCAATTGTGTAATTTAAGTGATCTAGGTAGCTCTGTTTTGGAAGTTCAGTTAAAGCTAGAAATGTGTTTTGGAGTTTGTACGTGCTTTTTGGAGTTTGTACATGCTTTGTCTCTAGGGGCCACCACATATATGTTTATATATAAATATATAACTAAAACCACTTTTTTTTTTTACATTAGTAATTCCTTTTGTGCATAATTTTATATTATTGTTAATAATAAAGTAATTAAAGCAACAAAACAACCTGAAGAGCCGGTTCGGAGCCGAAAGAGCCGGCTCTTTTTAGTGAGCCGAGCCGAAAAAGCCGGTTCTCTAAAAAGAGTCGGAAATCCCATCACTACTGCGAACACGCCCCCCTACACTTTTTTGGTATCCCAGCTGCTCCAGTTTATCTGCTGATGGGTGTACCGCGACTGACTACTCGTTAAATTAAATGGTAAATGGCCTGTATTTGTATAGCGCTGTTCTTAGTCCCTAAGGACCCCAAAGCGCTTTACACATCCAGTCATCCACCCATTCACACACTGGTGATGGCAAGCTACATTGTAGCCACAGCCACCCTGGGGCGCACTGACAGAGGCGAGATTAAGGTAACTTAAAAATATGTTTAAATGAAAACAACTTTAATGTTTTCATTTAAACATATTTTTAAGTTAATTAAAAATTAAATCTTTTTATGCCAGCTTTTTGCTTTGCTTGACAGTGTATAGAACAAACCCGATGACACAAACTCCCAGAAAATGTAAACATCAAACACATCCAGACTTTGAGGGCTGTGCAAAAAACAGAGATGACCGACCCCCCAAAAAACAGCTGTAAATATTTGTGGCTATTACAGTAAACACTGCAGTGTTTTCCTGTATACTTTATTTTATAATTTGATTTATAGTGAGCAACATGAATGTTAACAGACTGAGAATTTTACAACACCGGTTGTAACAGTCATTGCTTTCTGTCTTTAAGAGTCTCATTTTTTTCCTTCCCTGTTTGTACGAGGATTTCTCCAAAACATGTGATGGTCACAACTATTGACAGTCTGGTTTAATAAGTATTTTTGCTTTGAATTTTGCTAGGCTTTTCTGTGTCATTGGCTGTATCCCAATTCAGGGTCTGCAGCCTTAAAGGCCGCATTTTAAGGCTGATTACGTCACAGCGACGTGACGAAGGCTGTCCCAATTCGAAGGCTGCTCGAAATGCGGCCCTCAAATGCGTCCTTCATTTCCCTGAATTTCAAGGACGTGGCGGTGGGTGTGGATAATTTTGCCGGGAAAAAAAAATGGCGGATGAGGGGCGCCCAAAAAGTAAATTTTAAGTAAGTACTGAATATTATGTCACTTATTTATGTGCAAATGTTTAATAACGAAGAACATTAAAATATTACTGTTGGCCACATGTCGGCAAAGTTATGTGACATTAGTGACGTTTGTACAAACTTGATTTTAAAGCCTTTACTTTAAAATACACGCCGTTCAATAGCTGACCTTAATCTTACAGAGAATGATCAAAGCTCATGTA